AATAACATGTGCTTGCCGTAGTAATCATGACGGAAGCAAAGGGGAATAACAACACTGGAGGCTGCAGTTTGTTCCCCGTTTTCAAATGACAGTCAACGTTTTTTTAAAAGCATGATTACGATCCTCCTTTGTGCTGAAATCTTAAATGCATAATTTTCACATAACGTAACAGATTCATCTTCTAACACTGATTCGTAAGAGTTTTGGAAAGTACAGAAAAATAATGCCATCCAGCCAATAGTGGCATCAGAGCAGAAAATGCTTCAATGTATTATTTCAGAGGGCATGCATGGACAAATTATGTATTCTGTTGTTTAGTGTGGAGGACTTGTTGGATTTATATGTAAGTGTATTCAGTAAGACTTGTTTCCAGTTGCTCACATTTAGGGCAAATTTTTAACACATTCAATTTTATAAAAGAGTGTCTCATCTGTATCAACAAATGCCCAAATGCAATGTTGATTAAATGATAAAGAGTGGTGACATCATTCTCAGTCTTTAGTGGGTGGCTCTTTAGGTGTCTCTATAATTGTCTTATCTCGTAGTGACTGATTTGTCTCCTGTCTCTCAATGAAGTGACCACATTTTTCAGGCAATGAAATATACAGAACAGAAGCTAAGCATGACATGGAGGGAGTTGCCTTGGTTACCAATAAAAAGCTCCTTTGGCGCCAAGGGGGCTGATCATAACCAAGCTCTTCTACTTCAGCTCCCCAAATCACATCCCATCATGCTTGTTTTGGACCGCCACTGTCACGGTTTCTTTGTGGTGAGTTCAGATCATCTGCAGACAATTCAAGGAGATTTATAGCGGCTGAATTTGGGAGTAAATATTATAAAATGGCATTTATGCCAAATGAGGCTGTTACATGGTATGCACTCAGCATGGAAAGTAAACAGAGAGAAACAGCCTGGTTGATGGTGGCTGGCTGTACAGGATGAGATGGGCTCTGAGGTTTGATGGGGCAGAAGAAGGCTCATGCAGACGGCTGGCTGCTCCTTTTGACGGCGTGTCAGGGTTGGCTTGCAAGCTGCTCTGCCGCATCTGGGTGATGCAGTCATCATTGTGGCAGGCCTGTCAGAACACACTGGTGTGCTGGAGACAGATACAGTTTTAGTGGCTGGATGGGGAGTATGTAACACATGCACCACCCTAACATCGAATATGTTCCCCAAACTGGCAAGCTGGTGGCAAGTTAATGACAGGAACGACCAGTGACATCATATAAAAACATGATTACGCTCCACGAAAGACATCTGAGTGAGTCCATAGATCAAACAGACAGGGTGATGACTTAAAGCTCTAACACACTTGGTAACAGAATACAAGTCTGCCTCTATAGTTTTAACGGAAATTTTCACAACCATAAGCGCTACAGAATAAACACACACACACACACACACACACACACACACACACACACACACACACACACACACACACACACACACACACAGAGGGAAGATGAGACAGAGAGAAGGAGAGAAAAGAGAGAAGGCATTGCCAAGAGGGGGTTTACGTTGCATCACCAGCGCAGTGTTTTTATTTGTGATGTATTCAAATGAATTGACAGTCACAGTGGGAGAATAATGTGTAATCATTAGCAAAGGGTTTGCAAATTATTTATGTAATGTAAACCGTGATAATTTACTTCCACTTTTTTTCTTATACTGCCATTAACAAGTAACTTTGAAACCAATAAATGTCACAATTGCTTTCACTTAATTAAAACAATAGATATCATATTGCAAGGTAAGATGTCAGTCATACCACAGACTCCTGCACATAGCAATTTACTGCTTAAGTGTTATGAGAGAGGGTGACACAAATAATAGCTATTAAACTGTCAGCTAGTGGAGGCTGGATCACATTACTGAAATTAGCTAAGATGCACTATTATAAACAATGCCATCCTCTCTTAACACATGCATGCATACACACAAATAAACCCACCCAAATGCACAGACACAACAGAATGGAGAACAGATAATAAAATAGAAAGAAATCTGGCTACATTCCTGATGTGAAAGTTGTACAGCCATATTAAAGCTACTTTATTTTTCACAATGCTACAATGTGTGTCTGACTGTGTTTTTGAGATTGATCATTTGTATTCTGACTATTCAGGTGTTTAACATTGCATCTAATATCATTTGATTTTATTTCTAATCCTGGACTGTCCATCACCCTTCTGGCCAATGCACAAACTCCAAAACTCTCATTTGGAACCACATCAGATTGAGCCCAGTATTTGATTAATGATGTGACATCCTCTCATGTCCTTTGTGCTGGCATGATACCCATGTTCCAATCTGTCTGGCTTAAAGTGTAATTACAAATGTAGCAATGCAGTCCAACATGCCACACTTTTTTATAGCGAACTAAGGGCCAACGCAGTTCCGTCAAACAGCAAGCTTACCCCTGAGTGACAAACACAAACAGTACAAAGAAGGGAAATTAAATAATCATGCAAAATGCATGAAAGGCAAACAAGCTTTTTCCTATTTAAACACTCTGTGGTGCACTTCATGGAGTCAACTGTGAAGGTTCATCACTGACAGTCTTTATGGCACATGACACATCCAAAGGCAACACTGACACCTGCTGGTCTTGAGGACTATGGAAGTCTGAAACTGCCAAAATCATAAATAAATAAATAAATAATTCAGTAAATAAATTAATATGCCATTAAATGCACCAAAAAAATACAGGCATTTTTTAAGTAATAAAATATGACATAAACTGATATCTCTGTTTTAATTTGCTCTTGTATTTTTTTTTTTTACTTTTGCATTAATTCCCCTATTTATTTATTTTACCATTTAAATTTTTCAATTTAATTATTTATTATTTATGTATCTATCCATTTATGATTTTCCCTTTGCAGCCCCCTCCCCCTCCCACTATTTATTTCCCCCAAAGGTATTTTTTTCTGTATTTTCTTTTTACATTTCTTTATGCATGAAGCAATGTCAGGCAGTCACCCAGCCGCCCTGGCTTCCCGACTAATCGGGAGCTGCGGAGAAGGGACATTACGCTTCCTATTCACTGAGCCTCATCTCCATTATGGCAAATAAACTGCATTTACTACATGTACCTGTATCAGTAAAGGAGGCTGAGGAATAACTAAACATAAGACACTCTGAACAAGAGAAAGCAGGAGAATGGGAGGGAGATTCTCCATATTTACATTGATAAAACACAAAGATTTGTTGTAAAATAACCCACTTTGTATTCATGACTCACATTTACAAAAGGCACTATCCCAATCCCCACTCCTGCATCCCTCTAATTTCCATTTAACATTGATCAATTGAGTAGTGTTACACACTTATCAGCAGGACTAATTTATTTATGAACCTGTCATTTGTAATCATTGATTAGGATGTTCTCAGTTAGGGAACTAATGATATGCAGAGGTAAAAGATTCCCTAATTATTGTGTTTTGTATAATTGAGGCTGTGCACTTCTGCAGGAGGGTTCAGAGGGGAGCTGACTGCTGCCCTGTCTGCCACACTCCCGGGCACGCCAGCAGAATCTTAGTAGATTCACTAGGACTGCAACTGATGGAAAACACCCCGACACAGTGTCATTTATTGAGACTTTGTTTCATTACAGTGTTCAGTCTGTGTAAAATGGAATATTCCTACCATTAGCAGTTCTGTCTCATTTAGTAAATACAGCAACTGCATAACAATTACAATACAGTGGTATTAGATGAAGTGGACATTAGTTAAAAGCATGCAAACAGCAAGCCATGGGCAAGTCTAACCCTGTTCAAGGAAATCATATGTCTTGTTTAGCCTTTGAGCTATAGTATTTTAAGAAATGCCATATCACCACCACTTTATCCTGCTAAAAGTTTCAGGACTCCCCCCTTCGCTCCAGTCAGATGAGTTTGCGACAGGTCAAAGAGTGCAATGCAATCCAGAGATCCTTTATTTGGTTTGACGTACTGATGAAGATGACCGAGAATGCAATATAGCATGTCATTGCCCTTCATTATTTTCTTGAAACTACTTCTTATCTTTTGCTTAGTATTTTACTTGCATGTAAGACATAGTAATTACTTTGTATTATGGTGTACGGAGATTTGTTTTTCTGATACTGTCAGAAATTGTTTAACATCTTTTTGTTTGTACAGTATCATCAAATCACAAGACATTTTTCTGGGGTCAGCAGCAATCCCGGGATCATGACTTCTATAACTGACTAATTCTATATAAGCAGACAAAGCTGCTAAACCCAAATTATGTTAAGATAAATTGGCAATGTATCACATTTTTTTCTTTTTGTTACTATACACAAACTGTGCTTAAAACAAAGTTGATTTTTGATGCATTCACTTTGATTAACTTACCAACCAACTTAAAACAGACTCTGTACCAGTCTTGTCAGCAACACTGAACCAGATATTCAGGCTATCCTACTTGAAAAAACCTGGGCTGGAGCATTATCAGCCACTGGTACAATAATTGGGTGCAAAGTGTTCTTGCATTTTTCATTTTTGACCAGTAGTGGGCAGTCTTGAATCGACTACCCATTCAAGACCCTCATATCCATCCTCAGGAAGTGATGAAATTCTAAAATGTTTTAAGTCCTTGGACCACACAAAATTGTCCCCCTCACTATAGTGATATACTGAATTAATACAAAACTCCTAAAGTCATAAACTTAAAAACATCTGTTAATCTCATACACTTTATTTCAAGTATACTTACATACTTACTGCATAGTATGATAAAATGTAGATAAAATTTAAATATGTATTTAAATAGATCAAACTGCTTTTGATTTTTCCATTTCTTCTTCTAAAATAAATCCAACAAGGCTAACTGTTTAAGGCAGCTTTTTGGCAGAAGAATCCTAAGGTGTACCAAAATCCTTTTTTGAAGGTGCAGGAAAGTATCATTAGTGTACCATCAAGAATCAAAATGATTTAATTTTCAAATTTTTTGTCACTCATAAAGAAAATGAATGAGAAACATCATTGCTTACAGTAAGTGGTGTCAATTATTATGATGTTGAGTGAATCCACATATATAACAAGAAAAGGGCACCAATATCCTAACTAAATCGATAGAAGTTTAAATACAAAATGGTCAGTAAAATGAGCAAAAGTATAAGCTTTGGAATCCGACTGTATAAGGAATGCAGAGAGCAGCTTTCATAAAACATTCCACACAATGCCATCATTCATCACCATTTTAGGTGAACATTGTTGTAAGCGACATCTGGTGAAAAATACATTAACAACAATAACATCACCTGCTAAACACAGCATCTTTGCAGCCCATCCAGCAAATCACCACATCGATGCATCTTGGTTGCATTTCTGCATTAGAATTTCCACTGATTCACAAAAGTCACTTGGGGAGTGAGAGTGAGTGGTGTGTCTGTGGTACTTTTTAAATTATTGTTTAGGGCCATTAGTCTCAGGTTTCATCCCAAGCTGCTCCGGCCTCTCCGCCTGTCTGACCAAGCTGGGGCTGAGGCCCCTGAGTGCTGCAGAGGGCAACCGGGAAACCCCATTCACTGTCAATGCTCCACTGTCTATTGGGCAGATATAGTCCGCAGAGTCATCAGGTTTTCTCTTTCTCAGGTGACTGAATTGGGTGAAGCCCAACTTCTTTGGCTGAAAACACACAAAAGTCCAAGCCATTAATAATTAATTAATTTTCATTTTGTGCTGTAAAAACCACAGAACATTTTGATTCTTACAATGTGTTCTTACCTTGACTTTAGCAGTGGTAGTGAGGGGAACGTGACCTGTGGCATTGCCATACTCGCGCTTCTCCTGTGTGGCCTGAGGCCCCACCAGGGCAGAGAAGGCCGTGGCGAGGTGGCGCCGGAGCAAAGTCTTCTGGGGAGGAATATTTAGCAGCAGGGCCAAAGTCTCTGAGCTGAACCGCGGCTCCAGGATCTATGGAATTTGACAGCAACAAATTTAGGTCTCCAGGCACGTAATGTAAGCATGTGATGCCATTGTGCCCTGGTAAATTTGCGCCAAAGCTCAAAATTTACAGTACTTACAATCAGTCCACCATGAACACCACTGCCCCGTAGATTAGGCGCATACTCAGCTAGATCGACTGCTCTTAGCCACTCCATCACACGATGGTTAGACCACTGCACCACCTCTGAGGGAGAGGGTTGTTTCTGCAGAAAGTTAAAAATAATATTATTTGGCATTATACCCATTTCTATCTCACTCATTACCGACTGACCCTCCTCCTAAACACACTTCTTAAACAGCACTAGTACTTTAGACACAATTGTATGAAAGGAAAAATGTTCTGTTACTGGGAGCATTCAACATCTGTCTATCACCATCTTGTGGGCAACTGATGTGATTACACCTGTTCATCATCTAAGAGCAGTAGCTCAGTAAAACACAATCCACAATTTCATCTTCCACCCACTCCTTTCCACCTTGGCTTACCTCCTCCCCTGGCCTACGTCGAAGACAGTGGGGGTTGAACTTGTTGGCATGAAGAACATGAATGGCACATTTAATACTGAGATGATGAAGCTGGCTGGTGACCTTTAGAGTCAAGAGGTCATTCTGGGTGAACAGCAGAAGAACATAAGTGAACTTACAAATTCATAACAGTGTTATATGTTTGAAATTTAAATAAATGCATTTTGCAGGCATCTTTCTAGAAAATGTAGCAGTACATGAAAGATTAAGTCTTACCACTGTGAGGTATTGTATCATTCGACCATCTACTCGGGCCTCATGGAACTGGTCTTTATACTGAGGCAAACCAATATCATCCAACCAGCCTATACGGGGGAAAATCAATCAATCATTAATTCACTTCACTCACTTAACATTTTAATTCTAAATCTCCACGGGCAGTCAGCTGTCAAAACACAATCCCTGTAACGGCTCAGTTGAGATACAGTTCCTGGTTTTGAATGCTGTATATATTTGCATTTTTTTTAATATATTTACATTTTGATCTTACACATTACATTTCTTTGTTTGGTTTGTGGCATGAGAAGTCAGACTTTCTATTTGGACATCTGATTCAAATGAGAACATAAAGCATCAGAAGTTCAAAATGTAGAAAGAGTCTTACGGGTGACCCAAATGTGGTCCAGCTCTGACGATTTCTCTACAACTTTAGTGGTGAATGCCCTCAGAGCAAGCTGCAGCTTCTTCCTGTGCAGTGGATTCTTCATACCCATCTCCTGAGGTCAGAAAGGACTGTTTGTCATGATAGAACTAAACATTGAGGTAAATCTTTGGTGGTTTACCCACACACCACGCAATTTAATTCATCCTGATAAACTCTTTTAAGTTTATCTGAACATTAGGATGTAAATATATATCAATAATTTTGATTTATACTATGTATTATTACTGAGTCCTAAATTTAAGATATTTAGTTGTTTAGTTTAAAGTGACATCAACCGTCCTGTTTTATTCTGACCTTCTCAAAGTCCTGAGGTGTAGCAGACAGCAGTGTCTGTCCATTTTCAACCCACTGTCTAGAGAGACTGACGTACTGGCCCAGTCCATAGTCCTCTAGCCAGCCACACACCTGCTCCTTGGTCCACTGGCTGAATGGAATATTCATATCACTGACAGAAAAAAAAGAGAGAAATTAGACACGGGACTAGTTCATTTACTTTAATTGGTAATATAATATTCACAGTAAAATACATAAAGCATACCATACATTCAAAACACAATTTGATATCCTAAGAGAAGTGTCTTCTCATTTTAGCCCTTTAGGAAATGGTGGAGGTGAGAATGAGGTGAGAGAACTTAACCAGATTATTTTAAGGCAGCGGAGTATAAGAGTGACCTCGCTGATACAAAACCCTTAAAATAGAGTACTGAGAGTACTGTAGGCGAGGACCGGTAGAGGCACACAGAGCTTTACCGTGCAGGGTCATACGATTCAGGAGTCCTGGTTAGTCTGGGTCCTGCTGTAGCCCGCAGTCCCCCTCTTCTAAACTGACCCCCATCTGGATCTGCTGCTTGAAGCCCCCCAGACTGGGTTCTTCGAAGTCTGTATGGACAAGGATAAACTCCTGGCGTTACTTTCACTCTCAGAGTACAAAAGACAGATCTGACACATTCAGTAAACGCATTACTTATCATCTATTTTTTCTTGATGAAAATAAATAATAGGATAAAAAAAAATCAAGATGGAAAATATTCTTTATTACTGAAACCCAAATAGTAATTCATTACTGAGCTAAATAATTCTGTTTTATTACACACATTTTAAAGTGTGTTTTTCCACTTGTTAAATGTAGTGGCAATATTGTATTACCAGAGGAATAGTTTATTACAGTACAGTATAATTTATTCACATACACTTAATACATACACATAAACCACCAACTAATACTCCACACAAACCCATACAATGTATATTATCTATACACAATCTAACATATGTTAAAATGTATACAAGATATGAAACTTATATATGTTATTAAAAACTGCCAGTCAAAGTTGGTCTACTGGCTGGTGTTTCCTTCTTGGCTTGGTACTGATAATCTGTGCTGACATACTGTTGAGGTATTAATCTATTTTACAACACTCACTTTCCCCAGAGTCTCTTGAAGCTCCTGTTATTCTTCATGTATTCTGGTGAGCCCACAGCTCGTTGGCCAGGCTGTGTATTTGCCCCAGAATGAACAGGGGAATTATCGCTTGAAGTGCTGTCATCAATTTTCTCCAACTTTCCTTTAAGAGTTACAAAAAACATAGTCAGTGTAATACTACTGAGTACAAATTTGATTCAAATCATTTGAGTGTACTGTGAAGGGCTACTTAGATTTTGCAACATTTTATAGATGCATTTGATTAGTTAAAAATCGCAGTTTACTCATAATAATTTGAGTAGTCAAAAGCCCCACAATAATGTTGCCAAAAAAGCATTTCAGTAATGATGCCTTTGAAAAGATCTGGTCTGTTTAAATTTGTAGTTTTCTGTAGTTGTGAATTGTTGGAGACACAATCTTGATGACTGAGTAAAAAGCAGCCAAAAACTAAATAGCACATTAGGAGCTAAGTGGTGCGTGTGTGGTGGTCTGGATTTTCACAATGCTCTATTCAGGAGAGGGAGCGCAGGTTACAGACCATTGAGCTCAGCAAATAAGTCATCAGTTAATGTCCCATGAAAAAGACTGGGTTTAAGCTAAAATTTACAAGGTGTGATCTTTATGATATAGGCTGCAGTCAGTCTCTACTCTGCAGCAGAACTTGGCAGAGAGAAATCAGGGTGGGGCTCAAGTTAAAACCGGTCAGTGAAGCTGAGGAAGGGTGGAGCTGGGATGAATGTGGTCAATCAGAGCAAGCGGGAGGGTGTGTTTGGTGAGAAAGTCTAACCCATGATCCATCAGCTCTGTCAGGAGACTCTGCAATTAGTTGTGATCAAAGGTGTAATGGTCGTCTGGTCAAAGGAGAGTGGTTTGCTTCAAATATGAATCCTGCCTTTGCTCATTGGAATTACTGCCCTCACGACTACTCCACAGAAAAAGGAAGTCTGATCCTATATCGAGGATTATTACTGTACACTATCAATCATGTCATAAATTACAGCCTGAGTTAATATGTCTGGATTTACTTTGGCTGGAGTCTCCATCTTCACTCCCATCTGGAGACCTATGGCTCTGGATTTCACTGCTGCTGCCTCCGATCCCGTTTTGCTCTGACAGAGAGGAATTCACAGGCAGCGTCTGACTTCTGGTGTCACCCAGAGCACTCTGGATAAACCACACGGATATGAATACAAAAGGCAAGCAAAATCAGAAAATTAATTGTAATTGTATAGCAGTGATACAAATTGTGAATTCTGTCACACATCAATCATGTAAGACACCATACAGTCACTTTCATGTACTATAAAAAAAAAGTAAAGTCTTGGCATATTAGATTTGAAAGTACCTTTTGTGAAGGTCCATTTGTTAGGTCATTCATGCTACTTGATAGAATCTGTGGTTCTGTTCTGAGAAGATAAAAGCACAATCATCTCAGTCAAATCCAACTGATAGACATTGGCATGAGTCACTGATGAATAGCTGCTTCGCTACCTGGAATCACTGTCCTTCTGGACTGATATAAGTGATGTTTGTTGGGAGGAAGAGCTGTTTGTGGAAACCTGCGATGGGTAAAAATTAAAGTTAGAAGAGCTAAAATGACAAACAAACAAACTTCAACTTGTATGAAACCAGTTAAAAGTTTTTCGACCCACTTCAGACTTTACATCCTCAGATTTTGCACTGGCAGAGTCAGTATTCTTCATTAGCCCCTGCTCTTCTTCCTCGCTGCTGCTTGAAGGAGTCCTTCCATTTGGCAATGAATGAACAGCAGGTGGTGCTACAGTAACAAAGAAAGATTTTTTTTTTTCCCTCAACTCAAGCAGTGGCACATACTTCTGTCAAGGAAGGAAGTGTGGTGGCTTTCATTAAGCTCAAATGTTGTTGCTAAGATAATACAAATATTTCAAAGGAAGCACAAGGAGTGAAAAGGCTGATTACCTTGCCTTGTGGTGCTAGTGACCTCTCTGAATTGCCTGCACTGATTCAGGAGTAGAGTGAGCTCTTCAATACGCCGGTCCTACAGAAAACAGAGTAAGGGAGGTTCAAGGTCCACAAAACCCAATTAAGATGTTTATCTAAGGTTAAGAAACACATATAGACTATCTGCTTCACCCTGTTACTGGCCAATATGCCACACAAGCATCCCTCTTTCACCATATGGCCTTTACATCAATGTAGTGGATAGGGCGGGGATTGACACGGGCCTGGTTGGAAATCTTTGTGTTGTGGTAACCAGCTGCGCAGAGTGTGTGTTTTTTGAAGTGGTGCCCATGCCTGGTTTCGCCATGGTTCTCTTAATACAGCTCACTCCAAAATTAGGCTTGGCAGATCGAGGCCTACTTAAGTGTGGCTTTGCCTGAAATGGCTCGCCTTGGGGTGTGTGTACGTGTGTGTCTTCACTAGTGTGCCACATGTAGGGCTGTGTCTGTAAGTCTTTAAAGTCCAAGATTCTCTGGGAGGGAGAATACAAAAGCCCTTCTGTACTATAAATGGTTGGAGGGTGGCGCCTCTAAGAAATGACAACGTCTAAAAACAGTTACCTTCTGACCTTGCAAACAGCAGTGATGATGGCACTTGTATATACATGCCAGTAAGACACTTTACCTTGTAGTAAACAACACACATGCTGCTCTATACTGTTTAATCACATACAGCTGTGCTCCCCAGAAAGAGAAAGAATCAGTTTTCAGATTCCTGGTAACTTACCTTTTCATCGTTGGCAGCAACCAGTGATTTCATTCCACTCTTAAGCCTCTGCAGTTCCTGATCTATAAAGAGAAACCCCATACTGATTATTAATAGGCAGCTGCTTGTGTTATATAAATTATTATACAGTACAGACACATTTAACTGCATATGGTTATTTAGAAAGAAAGGAAAGGCAAAAATACATTCTAACAAGTTGTAATATTTATTCCTCACTAGAGTGACATCCAAACCATGTATTTTTAGATTCATGAAAGCCTTTTTTATCCACCAATCATAGCTTTAGCCATGTCAGCTTTTACATATTTGGGCCAACAGTCCATAGACACTTCCTTTGTAACAAGTGCAGGCATACAGGCAGGATTGCCAGTGAGTGAAAGTGATTATACTAAGCAAGTACCCCAGAGAAGTGTTTTTCTGTGACAGACAAAATTAAGAACAAACAAGAGATTATGCTTTCAAGAATCCATAAAGACAACCGAGAAGCCAAAGGGAAGAGAGATGGTGCACCAAGTAAGTAAACCAGGTGGTGTTTGACAAATCTGCCCCTAAGAGAAAAAATAATAGAATAAAGAGATGTGTGGAGAAAGGATGTAAATGAAAAATCACGTGTAGACATGGCCCATGGGTTCAAAATCATTTTCATGAAATACTGTTTGGGCTTACATTTGGCATTTAGCCTCTTCCTGTACATCTACTCAGAGAGAGAGAGACAGAGACCCATGATGAGACAGTTTATTAAGGGCCAAGACAGAGTTTTCCCACAGCTGTTACTACAAGTTAATGAATGCAAATAGGAGTCATTAACTGTGTCACCTATGAGGCTGGGTAGCTCAGACAGTGAGAGGCTGTTGTTGGCAAGTGGGTCGAGGCCTTGAAGCTGGGTGCTGTGCTTACCTCTCTCTGAGCTCTCGGTGGATAGAGAGGGTCTGGCCAGCAGCTGAGTGTGCAAGCTCTCGATCTCAGCGTTCTTACTGAGCAAAAGCTGCTGAAGGCTGCTGATCTCTGCCTGTGGGTGCCACACATGAGGAATCTTAGCAGACAGGACATGCAGTTCTGCGCAAAGGTACTGTATATGCCAACTCTGTTTAAACACATGCACAGCTAGAAGCACTTTCACATTCACAAAAAAACAGGACAAGTAAAGGCATCTTAATTTAAAGTGTCAGCACATGTCCTCATTTGACACCCAAACTGGGTAAGATCCCCCACATAATACCTACATGTAAAACACCCACAACAAAGCACACTAATGTTACTCTTTTAGAGAACCAAAATATTAGGCCACTTTATAGACTTTATAATTTGTTTGAATGTAAGTTACAGAGTATAAGGAAAAAACAGATGGTAATAAAGTTAAGTTCATGCTGATCTATTTGCCAGTGTTCTGTCTGTCAAGAAGAAAGTGGAAGAAAAATACACTTTTTGCTTTATGCACCACATCATACCCCTATTTTTACTTTATCAAAGCATTACTCCCCACTGATTTGTTTAAAAAGGTATAATAGGATACATAAACTCACACATAAAAGCCTTTTTATATTTCTAATTTTCTTCTATTAAGCTTTTCATAGCTTGATATAAAGAATATCGGTCTAACCACCTTCTACGAAACTGAGAATAACAAGTAAGATATTTCTGTGAGATGTACCATTTGTGCATTTTAAAATTTGGGTAAACATCCATTAGATAGAACAATGCCAAAAGGGTATTTTATGAACTGCTAAAAACTAAAAATAAAGAATTTCAGATGGTAATATGACTTTGAATTGTACAGTATTCACATACACTGCACAACAAATCAGGTCGACCTCCTTTGAGAACTACCAAAATGGTCGAGGTTGTGTCTGACCAGGCGACACCTACAGGGGTTAGTTTGTTAAAAGTGAATCAGCAGATGTATCTTTTGAAATGGTAGAAGTATAACAGAACAAGGAAATATGGTATAATATTATATTATCTCATATAATCTAATACACAGACACAACTATTGTAGTGGAAGGGAAAGAGGAAGGAAGACTGAGAGAGAAATGATGAAATAATAATATCCTAAAAATAAATAATAATATTGTAAAAGATGACGAGATACTCGAGAAAGTTTGAGAAGTTAATGCCATGGGATCATGCCAAAGTATACAAGAAGGACATTAAAAAAGGACTAAGCCATTATTAACTTTATTTCTACAGTCCTTTAAAATAGAAGGTAAATAGCTCTCAGACTTCTTAAGAAAACATAGGTGTCCATGAATGAGAGTGTGCAAAAGAAAATGACTCACTTAGCTGGCTGGAACATCGCATTGGACAGCATTTAGGAAAGTTGAGTGGACAGTTAGCAGTGGAATTTGGGCACTGGTGGTATATTTCAAAGTCTAGACACCATGAAAATCCAAACTTTCTTTTACCTTTGTTGCTTTGAGTTTCTTCTCATACTGTAACTTCTCATCCTCCAGGTGCTCCACTTTGTCCTTAAGAATCCTGAGCTCCTTAATTAAGCCCTGAAACAGAACATGTGAGGAAGATATGCCTCTTAATTTCAGCTGCAAGCCTTAAAAAAACTTTGTCACTCCAATAGCAGGAATAAATAATCAGGTGATGTTAGTAAGCCTGCACATTGTAGCACACAATATCAAATTACATGAAATGCACCTAGAGGTATTAGCTATGTCACACACTGATGCATAACAGATTGACCAAGTTGCATAGTGACATGGAGCACTGCTGAGGATACTTGGTGAATCCATGTTTCATTTGCGTCTGAACCGAAGGATTGCACACACCAATTTAGGACAACCCATGCTGTACACAACATTAGAAGTCACTCAGGCAAGCTGTGCCTACACTTTCTCCTCTACAGTGGTACTGCTGCTCTGCATCTGAGCTACCCTCTTCCAGGCTGTGTGTGTTGCCATCAGACGCATCTGGAGCCTCTTCTAGTATGTGTATCACCCCGGAGGTTCTGTCACAGGACGGCCCGGGGTTTGAGCCCTTGTCCTCTGTGGGGTCGTTGCGGCACTCCACCAAAGTGCTGCTGTCAGCCGGGATCTCCATGGCCTTTTTCTCCTGGATCTTGCTATTGATCTCCTTCTGAAACCTACACATCTGCTCTTGCAGCTCACTAATGAAATTCACTACAGTCTGACAGATGCAGTGGGGGAGAGAGAATTGAGAGAAATGTTTAGAAAGAGAAGAGGAAACACTGTAGAGAAGGTGTATACGTCTGTATTTGTAAGTGAATGCATCATTGCAGAAATTATCTTTCAATCCAGTTTTCCCTCTACATTATTTTTAGGTAATCTGATATTCTACATTCTGAGAAAGTGTAGATAAGGCCTTGAGCCTGAATATTTAATATGATAGTGAGCCTGTGTTAGAAATACAGATCCTTGGCCGGTCCCATATACAGACACACAGGGCCAGTTCTTACCTAGTTTATAGGGATGGGACAATATACGATTTTATCACTCGTGATGATGCAAAGCATTCACAGTAAATTGATCGTGGTGAATTTATCATCGGAAAAATTGTGAAGGGTGATAATATAGCTGGCCAACATGCAGTCCTATATTGATTTATTTCGAATTGCCACAAGGGGGCGCCTCCATATTTCCAGTCAAATCCAAAATGCTAAGCCAGTGACCATGGCTAAAGACACGGTTTACCGTATCACCCACGACAGAAAGTTAAATCGGATGTGCTTGGATTATTCTGGATTCCAAAACAATGAACGACAGGAAAATGAGAGGCCCACCCGCAGAACCTGTCGGAGGAAGGTGTCTGTCTGCCCATCGGTTCAACACCTCCAATTTGAACTCCCACGTCCGTGATAACCATTTAGCTCTGTTCGCTGAACTCCAGGTACAATTAACTTAGCGTTACTGTAAATTACACTTACGTAACGTGACGTACTTAAGTGTTGGTTATGTTGACGTTTATGTAAACGTTCGTTACGTTATGATGCTGTGTGTTGTGAACGTTATATAACGTTTTGGTCACCATTAAATTAAGCTAATGTTGTCTAAGTAATGGTAGCTATGTTAGCTAAATAGCTCATTTGTGTCATCTTTTACCTCTGATTCGATTTTTATCATAACATTAATTTGGCAGCAGTCCATAAGAAATAAGAATTACAATTTATTTTATTTGACAGAAAATCTCGTTGCATGTAGCCTACATGTAACACTGCTGTGCATGTATTTATCAATCGCAACAGCAGAATATTTAAGTTTATCATTTAATAGGCTGTATGCATGTAGAAATGACCATTACAGCATTTCCACTTCAAGTCCTCTCTATTGCTCTCATAGAAAAAAAGAAAATGTGTTGAAGTGATTTCCATTTGTTTTGTAATTTTCATTATTTTCACGATAATATCGTGAACTGCAATTATTTTGGCCAGGAGAATAGTGACATCAAGTTCTTATTTTGTCCTATGCCTATTCCAGAAACACAGTCTGTTTTGTTTTTATTCATGAACCTGAACTTCCATAACATGCATATCCAGTTTATTGAATGGGTAGTTTGAATTGAGAAACTGCAAGAGAGGTGAATAAGTTTGCCATCTTTTAGAGGTGATCATGTTCCTTCAGAAAAAGTGTAAACAGCAGCCAAGTTATGCTCGGACTGTGGACAGAGGAAGTCTCACTTGGGGTCTGGTACAGCGGATATGACAGATGATATGAAGTGCCTCCATGGCTAAATTTAACTATGAGCTTACTGGCTCCACAGCAAGGAGGCTTGCACATGTTGTGTGTGTGTGTGCAAACATGCATATGTGTGGACATGTTTGTGTAGTAAAGAAAGCACGTGGGAGGCCAGTAAAGTGTTGAAAGCAGATTTTTCCTATTCTGTTAAGTCCAAGCAGCTTTTGTAGGGAAAGTAGATTTTGTTCACATAATGAAAGTAGAATTGAGAAGTGCTGAAACATATAGCCATTTGTCCTGCTAAGATATAGAAATCAAGTAGCAATCAACATATTCAATTAAATGTCCTTTTTTTCTTTTGCTGTCAAATGCTTTCAAAAATATGGCTTCCGTTAGGAACGGGATCATTTTTTTCAGAATGGCCTACTCAACCTTTACCCACCACCAAGAACAAAATTCTCTGGGCTGAAGCCTACACACACTCATATTTGGCCCACCATCCATCATGCCAGCTCCGCTATGCCTGAACTCTCTTAACCTGTGAACACAAAGGCTCTTTGACCAGCAGTGTTTTGACAGTAACTACATACATTACAGTATCCTGTCTAGTAAGAGTGCAGCTTTCCTTGCTTTCCCTTTCTCCAATTCATATGGTCACTAAATGCCCAGGATGTCTGCTGGTAACCCAACACATTGGTCTTAAGCAAATACATGATTCAGTTTAAACTGACAAAAAAAATGAAACCCCTTGGAGACTTTTTTTTTCCTGTAGACTTTGGCCAGGAACAACAGAGCCAGGATTTTGGTGAATGTTCCCCTACATCCATCCAGAAAGTGTTTATGGTCTTCCATAAAATCAGCAGCTGACTTCAAGGTTAGATCCATCAGAACACAAGACAGATTTTTGTGTGTACCCTCGTCATTCCTGGCAGAGTTAGGTTCAAATTTCCAAGGACTGAAGCAAAACAGAAGTGTTCCTGAGGATTTTAGTCAAACTAATTCCTCCTTGCAGGCAGTCCTCAATGAAACAACCTATATGGTAATTTGGCAATGAGCCTGCCACGTTCATATAAATAAATCCGCTAAAAAAAAATATGAAGTTTAATTGGAAAATTATACTAAGGGTGAAATCAGTGACAGCTCACACAAGTAAATCAAGTCCGACTGATACATATTCAAATAAGTTCTGACAAACCAAACAACCATACCATATACTGTAAATAAAAACTTAATGAGTACAAGAACTTGCCTCATTCAGCTCTGTAAAAAGCCCTACCTCTGCTTTGTGTTGCCTTTCAGCTCCATGGCCCTGTTTTCCCTCCATGTCTGCCAGCTTTAGTTTCAGGTAGGACACCTCCCCCATAAGACTCAGCTTCTGGTTCTCCAGTGACGTCCTATGCAGGAGCTCCTGTCATCAACAACATACAGCAACAGCATGAATCAACACAAACGGACATAAAGGTAATCACAAATACACGTTAGTACATTACCCCTTCAGTGACAGCACTCAGCACTTACTGAACAAAGGCAACATTAAGTGTGAGGCACAGCAAGCCACCAGTTCTGTAATGACAGTCCCCTCAGACAAACCCACTGGTTTAAAACGCTGTTTGAGTGGCTAAATATACACAACCCATGACCACTATTTATAATGCCTATTTCACAGCTCACTCAAAGCACACAGCAGAGGGGAGGAGAGAGAGTGTGTGAGAGAGAGAGGGGTACCAAAACCATGCAAAACATTCATAGAAAGAACATTTAAATAACTGTGACAGGTGCATTTTCCTTTCAGTGTGTGAACCTTTGCCAATTAAACCTGTGCTGAGGGAGACTATTGGTCTGCTATACACTTCTGTGACTATCTCTCTTCTGTGGTTGTCAGCCTTGAGAGTTATGCCAGGCTATGCAGGCAGATGTATTACTAATTTGGTTGATGTCAAGCAGGTGCTAAATCACTTAAAGTCCACAAATGAGCGTCTGAGGCAGGCAAACATTACATATGGATATATCCATTTAAAACTCTGGCTTTGGAAAATATCTGGGCTTCTTCTAGTGTGCACACTGGAAAATATTAGAGCTTTGTCACCAGGAAGAGATTTACGGCTCAGGTCCAAAGCCTCATAATGACCATGTCTCCAAGAAACCAGCCCTGCCTGCCCTTTGATACACTGCACACGTCCAGCATTGCACAAAGAAGTAGACACTGAGCATTAAGTTCATAACTCATCAGATAGCTAAAAGACATATTCCTGACTCTTATGTACTTTGTCAGAAAAGGCTGGAACAGTCTACTCTGAAGAGAAATTTCACAGGAGCAGCATTATAAGAATGAGATACATTTAATTTGTGTAATACCTGGTTCATCTTACTCCAGTGTCTGCCTGTAGTAAAGGAACGATAAGTGTATTTCCCTCATGGATGCAATGGTTTCAAGTGTCTTGTAGTTTCAGTAGATGAAAGTTTCATACATCCATTCCATTTTCTTTGTCCTTCGTACAGTTCAGCAAAGTCTCCGTTGTAGATTTGAAGTCAAAAGCAAACAACTGAAAGTTGTAGACATACACGTCTAACTTCTCTTAAAGGAGCACCACCCCTATTCTTTCTCCCTCCCATCTCTCCACCTTTTTCAGTTGTTCCTCCCTTCCTTGTTTGTCCCTCTCTCCTTCGCGCTGTTGTCCTCTCTCTCTCTCTCTCTCTCTCTCTCTCTCTCTCTCTCTTCCTGTGTCTGTGTATGAGCATGCAGAGAGTAAGTCCTGGTGTTTACAGGTTGGGGGTGTGGCTAATCGTGCTGTAATCACCTGCCCAGACAGACCAGTCTTACCCTGCTTAAACCAGGCATATACTCACACTGTCCTGGAATGAGTCTGAGCATCCTAAATATTTTGGTTGTCAAGGTTATGTGCAGCCAGATTCACTGGAATCTTAGCATGGAATTTCTTCCCAGGAAGCAGAACTCATCCCGAGTTACATACTACAGCTTATGAGAAATGATTGGATCTGCAGAAGAATCACATTTAAAAGATAAATGGACAGTCTGGGGCCCTGTCACATCTCATTAACTGGAAGAAAAATATTGATATAAAAGCCTGGTGAAAGTCAGAGTTTCCTGACTTTGGTCCAGTAATACGTCAAGCATTTGGTAGCTATTGAGGAACTCCAATGTAAGACTGAAATCAGCGAGGTCAGTAAAGCTGTGTACCTGCTGTAGCATCTCCTCCGTGGAGTTGAGTTTGTGCTGATGGTCCACCAGGGAAGTCTCTAGATCGCTGATCTTCACGCCCTGAGCTTCCACCTGGTCTGTCAGTACACTCACCTGTGTGTGTATTTGTGTTTGGGAACAGAATGATAGTAGAGATAATATATATAAAGATGAATGGACAATTAAACTGTTCAGCCATCATTTACTTCCACATTTCATCACAGAAATACAGCCTAGGTCATAGTTTCTCACAGCGCCCATTCGTTAATATTAGCTATTTTCATTTAATCGCTGCTACTCATTTGTGTTGAAATTTCTGTGTCTGTGCCAGGTCAAACAGTGCAAACATTTCCTTTGAGAAAAAATGAATGCTCCTTTGTGCTTCGTTAGGTGCTTGCAACACTTCAGTGGCTCCAGCAATGTCAGCAGAATGCTGGTTAAATGTAAATCTGTAGAAAAACTATTGAGGCTAATCACATGCTAAAACAGCAGGTCCAACCAGCCAACTGGAGTGGATTTTCTTAAGGAATGTTTTATCTGAGGCCAGAAGAAACAAACAGGGCACCTGCTCTCACCCACACCTACATGCTACAGAGCATGGTGGTGCTAGCCTCAACCTGTCTGAGATGAGCACTTGTTCAGCAGTCCTGAGAGCTGCACACACCTACACACGTATATAAGTGCACAAACACATCAGACAAAACAAGACATTCTATTGTTGTAACAGCACCAAACCCACTTGATAAGTGTTGCTTCACCCATGCAGTGGAAAAATGCAATTACGCAACATTTATAACATAATACTCTAGTCTACCTTTGCCCTTTCACCTTCCTTTCCTTGTCTCTTTCCTCTAACACTGTAATGTGATATGGGCACTGTTTGGAATCGGTTCTCACTAGCAGCATGGTGTCAAATGTCCTCTTTTATTTGAGTAGACTCATAACCAATAGAACTGATTCACCTTTATAAATGGATGTCCAGGCATGCTCTGGGCTAAATGTTTTAATACTACAATAACCTTTTTAAAGGTCATATAAATCTTATACAACAGACAGAAATACTATTGATGCACCCTAACAAAAGAAAAGCATATCCAGGGGAGTGACTAATCTCACCTGCAGAATTAGTGACTCTTTGTCTCCCTCCAGACGTGATAACCGCTCCTGGTAGGACTCACTGTTGCCGTTTGAATGGAGGTTTACCTTCAGAATAAAGGTCACCCATTAAGTTCAGTAAGTACACTGTTAATGCAAAACAGTTGCCCAGTGGGTCGAATTTGGTTTCCTTCAGTGTGATTGCAGCCTCTGACTCAGACAGTACACGCACATGCATGTGTGCACACACACGCACACACACACACACGACTTACCTTTCAGGCTCAAACGTCATTTTCTGTTAGTCTATAAGCGGTTTACAGGTCCTAATCCAGCATTAAAAATTGTGTACAACATTTTGTACCGACTGATTAGTGGAAAAAAAAAATGAAGTCTGAACTCGGGGCTGCCTGTGCAGTCAGGGATATTTCAGAGCCATCAGTGTGCAAGGGAAGTAAAGTGCAACCAAATGAGCTCAAATTTCTTAGAAATCCAGGCTTTCAACCACAATCATGGAAACATTATGTAGCCCTGCGTCCGTCATCCTGCGCCAGCCAGCTCATGTGGTTAGCAATAATTTTAAAATGTGCCTTATTAAGCCTCTTTGCATCAGACTTTAAAAATAGATAAGCCACGTGTTTTAACATTAAAATATTTGATTGCATAATTTAGGTGTTTTTACAGATATTTCTTTTAAATTTTAGTGATGAGAAGAATTGGGTTCCTACACAAGTCCGTCCTCCAATCCACTTGATATTTTTCTTAGTTCAGGTCTTGGCTTAGTTGAGCTATTCACTTAGTTCTTGCTGTGTGCTTAATTATTTCAAGAAAGCCATTTTTTTTAGCCAGCCCAAACCTAGAACCATTAACCTCACATTATTACAGTTGTATCTCCAAATTCTTTTATTTACAAAATTTTGGGGAACGAATTTGCTTCATGACCTCTACTATAATAATGTAACTCATCTCCTGTGAGGTTAAGGTCTGATGAGCAGCACTGAAATTGATTACACTAAATAACAAAAAATTTAAAACAGACTCTGTATACTGTAATGCAATTGAAGATAACATTCATGGAGGAAATACTTCATTTGTGAAACCCTTTCAGAGAGGTGTTGGTTTAATTTAACAAACTTTTTGAAGCTGTAGTTTGTAGTGTTGTTAATCTGAGATGATGGTGAAGAAGAAACTGTAGAGCTTTTGTGTTGCACTGTGTAAAAGTTCAGTATATTGTTATTACTTTGTGTTTTTATAATTTTATATGTGATTCTTGACAATATGTGTTTAAAAGGGTTTTATACATAAATAGTTACTATATTACTGTACTTTCTTACTATTTTAAGATTTAGACAAAGGTACTGTGTATTGCCAAACAATATCATGAGGATTTGTGTTATGTCTGGTATAGAGAAAATTTCTAAATCCAGATTTTTCCACATTATCAGTTGATTGCTAACATGTCATGTATACAAATTTGAATCATTGTTATAACAATGGTTGACAAGTATGTGCATGTAAAGGCTTCCTCTGTAGATCTGAGTCAGTAAGAATGAAAACCTAATGGAGGCAGTCAGGCCTAATGACTTCTTAATGGCAGCAAGATGGTATGTGCTGTCCAAAGACTCCCTATAGGTTCAAGTGGCAGGAAATGATCTCAGCTGACATGTGTATCCATTTATCATTCTCCTTTAACACTTTAACCTTATGACCAGTTTGGCTGACTTGTTGTGCATTCAACAATTCACCCACGTGTCACCACCAGTCAACCATGTAACCTGATGCTCTGGTCAGACTAGAAATGATTAAATCTGCTTCCCATATTGATATATTACTATATTAGCTATTATGTTAAAATATATTATTTTAGCTTCAATACAGAGAGGTTCACTAACTTGTTGCTCTGTTCAGTCAAAAATGTTGCCTTTAAGACTTTGATAGAATAATTCTTGACATTTATCCTAAAACAAGAAGGGAATCTCTGTAATAGCTCAGATACACATGTTAATTAGCTGCTTATTTTCTTACATAAACTTCTAACAGTCCACAAGGGCTTGTATATCAGAGTGCATGTGTTGCATATTCTGCAGAAAACTTCTCAGCTCACAAACAAAACACGTCTTCCTCCCAAATTATGTGCATGGCAGCTGTAATTACGCTGTAAAAGCAACAACACCGCAGGAGCAAAATAAACAAACAAGATCTTTTTTGTGCAATTATGGCGCAGTATGAAAGTATGAAAAGCAAACATGCAAGTGGAGAGTGTCTTACCTTTCTGAGCCAGGCAAAATGTTTGTAGAAATCAATATCATACTCCATTTTGCAGGCCCATTGTGCTGTAGGTCTGGCTCTTAACAATAATACTAATAGAATTTAGCCCGTGCAATAAAGCACCAAGGAGGATGAACAGAGACCAGAATCCACAACAAGACAAAACAGTGGCTCTTAACTGGGCTGTACTCTCTATCTCCCTGAAGCCAACTCTCTTCCTTTTACAGACCCACCATATTGCAGTTGTAGAGTCTACAGAGAAGACTTAGTCCGTGTGGTTTGGAGTCTGGGCCGCCTGAGACTTTTAGAGCTGAGCCGAATAACTCAAACTATGCCAGTTGGCTGTACTCCCTTTCTTTCTTCTCTTCACTTTTTTTCTACCTCTTTCTAACTCCCCTTTTTCTTTTTTCTTTTTTTTCCCCGCTTCCTCTCTAAAGCACGCTCAAAATGCTTCAGCATTTACTACATCTCTGCATTTTTGCTGCACCTCATGATCATTCGTCTTTTTCTGTCCTCCCTTTCTTTCTCCGGTACCTTTCTCTCTCGGTCTCTAGCCCGTTCTCTTGCACTGTCTGAAGTACCTCTCAGTCAAGCTGATTTTGCGGGGCTTCCTAAAGGGGCACAGGGGAGAGGAAACTTTCTGCAGCACATGCTTGTCAGATGTGGTGCCGAGCAAGAAGTCATTAAAGACGACGCAGAACGGGAGGAGGAGGCAGTGGAGGAGATTGAGGGGGAACGTGAGTGTAAAGTTGACAATATCAAACTAATGTAGAAGTAGAGTAGAAAAAACTAAATGCTGGTGGTGGGTAACCTGGACAAAACAAACAAGCAACTGTTGCAGAAAACGGAGGGCAGGAGTAATGCAAGGGTATAAGACTGAAGGAAATCAGGGAGAGCAGGACAGTAAAAAGCAACTTGCAACTGCTTGTACTTAAA